GAGTTGTGGCGTTGGGGTTGGGCTCTTTACTGTGTTGGGTTTGGGTTGGGGTGTTGGTGCTAGGATGTTGGGGTCGGGGTATGTGTTAGGAGTGGGGTCAGGCGGTTGGGGCGGAGGGTGTTTGTGTCCCCGCTTTCCTACTCCCTCCAGCCTCTCTCCTTCTCCTCCCTTTTCCTCCTGCTCCTCCTTATCCTGTTCTTCTTAATCATCATATTCCACATATCCCCCCTCATAGTATGCTCCTCCTCGTCCTTGTCATTGTACTCGCCCTCCCCTCCTCCACCCTGCTAGTATATTCAAGTAGCTTACGCCATTCCGCCGATCACCAGGAGGAGCGAGAACTCGAGATGAACGTAGAAATTACCCATCATTCGGACGAACCCGCTGCCGTGCCTGGGCAGTGGATTATACAGAAGTCTTTCCGATGTGCGCGAGGGTCGTTCGGGATGCTTCTAGGGGGGCTCTGAGAGGGTTCCTGGTTCCACATGTGGGGAGTTCGGTGGCCTCTTGGGGCCTCTTGGGGGCCTCCTGATGGCTTCTCGGAAGGTCGCTGGGGCCCCCAGGGTGTTTTTCGGACACATCTGGGGGTTTCTCGGAACCATCGCGAGGGGGAACGTTCGATATTCAGGTTCGTATTCCCTCTCTCGGCCCCTCCTTGGGGGCCCTCTTCGGGCGTCTTGCGGGCCCTTTGGCTGGGCGTTCGGTGGAACTCACCGTTGGGCCGCGGGGCGTGTAGGCCGCGCGCCGACACTTTCGGTTGCGGCGCGTGCGAGCCTTGCCGCGGGGCCTTGAGCGGAGCACCCCATATTGGACAGCGAAACGCGTGAGGAGGGCGCCGACGCGGGCGGAGGGCGCGCACGCGAGCCCCGCCAGCGCGGGCGTCGGTGGAAGCTCTATCTTGGGCCACGAAACGAATGAGGGGCGTGCCAAAATGGCGGCGGGGGCGCGCGCGATCCTTGCCACTGGGGGGTTCGGGGGGTGGGCCTTTCATGGGGCGGCGTTCCAGTGATGAGCCATCGGGCATCAACGGCGTGGACGAATGCCAACCCTGCCATTGGAGCCTTCAGTCGGCGCCCCCCCCACGGGGCCGCGATGCGCGCGATGCGCGCACCGAACAAACAAGCAGGTTGGCGAGCCATTTCCCCGCATAGCTGCTCGATCTTGAGATCCTCAGGGGATGGCTCAGGGTTTGGTTCGTATTGTCCCAAAGTGTATCGAAACATGCCGTTGGCATTCGCCTGGGAAGCACTAGCGCACAACTCGTGCGAAACGGTGCGCCGCGAGCGAGGCGATGTATAGTTAGGTAGCTGCAACGAAACGAGGGCGCGACGGGGTAAGATGAGGGGGAGTGCCGTGCGTGGGGTGACAAAGTGCAGCTTTAAACTTCGTGTGCTGTACTTCGTCGCGCCACGTGTGCCTCCCTTCTCTTCTGAACCCCGTCGCCTCATCGCATAGTGGCTTGGACGCCTTCTCTATGCGTCATCATGCTTGCGACGCACCGCTTCGCGAGGCTCGCACGATATATTTTTCTTCGTGGGCGGCTGAGCAATTTTCTTGAGCTTCCACAAGCAATTCAAAACCAATTCAAAAGCAATTTTCTTGGTTTTCCACAAAGGAGGTGTTATAGAGTGAAGAGACATCTCAAGGTGAGAAGCCGACGTGGCTCGACGTGCTGCGCAGGAACGTCGCGCTGCACTCCGACGCAGGGGATATCGACGTGGAGCATGTCTCGGCTGCCCAGCTGCGTCGGGCGCAGCACCGAGCTCGGCTGGAGGCGAGGAGGCGCTCCCCGTCACCTGAACAGCTCAGGTTTCCCGAAAACGTCGACGCCCCGATCTTCGTGCCAGTTGCTGGCTCATGGGAGGCCTTGTCGCCTTTTGTCCCCGTGGACGCCGAGGGTCCCGAGGAGCTTCAGGAGGAGGAGGAGCTCAGGGAGCTGGAAGACAGTGCCAGTGGCCGTGGGCGGAGGCGCTGCAGGGCCCCTAGTGGGGATGACTGCCTGCCGCCGGGGCCGCGGAAACGCCGCTGGGCGTGGTGCAGGCTGGCGGTGGCTGGGGCGCTGTGCGCTTTGAGCGTGCTGATGCTGGCCGTTCCCATCTTCGGCTTCGTGCGACTGCTGAACGAGTACGACAATAGGTAACCCAGGAGGCGTTCGTGTTGGATGAACTGTGAATTCTCGTTTTGCTCGGCGAGCACGGAGGCATGCGCGGCCTAATCCCGCATTGTTTTGCAGCCTCCCGTTGCAGAAGCTCTTCCTGGCATTATCCTTCGCATTCCCGGCGCCCCTACGTCTTCCACGTCATGAGCGTCAGTGTGTTCCTCTACATGTACTCCGTTCGTCGTTCGAGGGCTACTGGTTCGAGGTGCCGCTGTGCGAAGCCAGAGGGTGCTCTGCCTAGTTGATTGGTGTGCGAATGCCCCAGGCGGGCATCATGATGATAGGGAGGGGAGGACCTCCCCCGCCCTACCTATGGTAGCAGTTGTGAAACAGTGGTTCATGATTCGGATTTGGGGGAATGCGCCGGCGTCAAGGACCCGCTTCCCTCACGACCTGTTTGCTCCACACCAAGTCATCTTTGGCAGGGTCTACGTTGATCCGGTCGGTCCGCTTCAATATCGACGCCGGCCGTCCCGGTCTGATTCTGCCCCGGTACGCCGACGATCCGAAGCGGCCAGATGTTTCCACAGTTGTGCATGCTTTGAGCCGCCTCGACGACCACAGAAGCGGGGATAACCAGTCCCCACTGAGCAGAATATCGCGCCCAACGAAAAACACATACTGACAAACGAAAAGACATCACAACGAAGACATATACCTAAACTCGCATCAAGACAGCAATGGAGCAAGACAACAATGTGTGAGCGAACGTACCTGTCCAAGAATGCAAGGCCCTCTCACGCTCGTGGATGCTATGTGCTGGCGCGATGCAGGCGTGCGTTCCTTTTCTGGTTCTCTGTATACCCACAGGGGACCTATCTGAGTGCTGCTACAATCTACAATGCGACCGCCTCGAGATTTCAGACAAGGATCGCGGGGCATCCATCTCATCCATCGGTGGCGCTGCGTGGCGGGGGCGCTTGTCACCTCGGCGATGTTGCAGAAGAGTGCATTTCACATTTTTGCGCGCGGACCGGCAGTCCACGGCGCCGCCGCCAGCGCGTCACTTTCGACGACACTGGCAATCGTCTCTCTAGCTTTCACCGCCTTCGTCATGCCGCCGACGCTGTCCTTCGAGCAAGGAATCCAGTGTGCGACGGCGCGCCGGAGTTGTTGGGGGATACCTGGATAGGATCGACGCCGCGCGCGTCGGCACTACGGTGGACGCGGTCAAGAAGACGTGGCCCCTGGGCCCCAGGCTCTGCAATGCTACGAGAGGCGAAGCTTTGACTGCGGCCAAGGCCGCGAACATCGACAGCGTGGACCCGGGCGCGGACCCAGGGATATAAGCAGGCGTGATGGCGCAGAAGGCGGCTATCCAAGGCGTCGGTCCGATGCGCGTGGGCGAGCTCTTCGACAGGTACTTCGACAGCTTTAGCCGACGCAGCGCGGAGGCAGTGGGTGCGCGGCTGACAAAGCGAAGCGCGATTCGACGGCAGCTGCTGGGGGCCGACAGGATGACGCAGTCGAGCGACAATGTCGAGGCCTACTTCCTGTTGAAGCTGGGCGGTTTGACGCAGGGTTCCGCGACCCCAGTTGCTCGCGAGTTGCGGCGGCGTCTACGACCCGAGGAAGCTGGCGGAGGCCATCAGAGTGCCGTTCGCCGATCTACACAAGCCTGCAGGACGTCCGCGACAAGGGCGCGATCTCCGAGAAGGGGGGCGCGAGGAGGGGCCCTTCTACTTCGCGGAGAGACACGTTGCAAACGAACCAGGACCAGAGCCAGACGACGAATATGGAGACGACGGTGACTACGACGACGGCATGGCGGATATCGAGGGCGACTTCCACGACGAAGGCGTGGCGGACATCGAGGGCGACTTGACTGAGCTACAAAATGGAGTCGAGGCTGGCGACGCGGATGCAGAAGAGCTGCTGGCGGCGCTCAGCGAGTGACTCGTTGCGGAGCAGGCTGCGTGCGTCGCCAGACGGGACCTGCGCGAGCTGGGAGACCATGCCCGAGGGCCCAGTCGTTCGGGGAAGCTGATGAACAACAAGCAGGAGACGGCGGAAGATGGGAAGAAGCGAATCGCGGTGTCTAAAAAAGGACCCGATGCAGCGTGCGTGGAGCGCTCGGCCACTTGGGCAGGAGATCCCGGCCGTGCCCAGTCGGGTCGGTCGCTGCGGCCGCGAGGAGATCGAGGTCGCTTCCAGTCGAGTGGCGGCAAGTGCGGCGGCGGACAGAACAACGGACGAGGTGGCGGAAGGGCCCGGAAGAGCTTCTTCGTCGTCAGGGGCGACGCGGGCGACGACGCCGAGGAGCCGCGCTTCGCGGCCCGCATAGAGCAGGACAAGGGCGAGGACAATGAGCCGCGCTTGGCCCGCTACCGGCATCATCGGCGGAAGCGGCGGCGGCGCCAGCATCCTGGATCGACGCCGAGCCCGGCGAAGAAACGCGCGGGCGGTCAGGGCGCGGTCACTGTCGAGGCGCCGCGGGAGAGCAGCGGGCGCCAGTCGCGCGCGGAGGTCCTGAAGAGACGCGGCAAGCCCTGCGGTGTAGCGGATTGCGCGCGCGAGGCTTTCGGCGCATGTGTTGGCCGAGAGGGCCACGCCGGAGCTGTCGGCGCTGTCCCGACGCGGCAGCCACGGCGACGCCCAGTGGAGCGAGCGGCAGTAGGTCGCAAGCAAGCAGAGCGTGGATTGCAAGTGAAGGCGGAACGACTATCCACATGCGAGCTGGAGAAGCTGGAGGAGCGTTCATTTCGGTCCAAGATGACCGCCAAGCGCCAGCGACGCCAAAGGTAAGCGCACCTGGGGCGCCGAAGACGGGCGGCAAGTGTGACCGAAGGTGAGATCAGGCTGTGGTTCATCGCGCAGAAGTGGCCACGCCAGAGATGCCCCGATGGCGGAATGGTGCAAGGTTCCAGGCACCAGTGCGCCATCGCGTGGAAGTGTGACTGCGGTGCGCGAACGGCAGAAAGGCGTTTTCCGACTAGCAAGAAGTACTCTCTCGGACAGGTCGAGAGCTGTTTTCAGTTACGTGTCGATCGAGAAGTCTGACGATCAGAATTTCGAGGAGTTCGCGGCCGTGGCTGGCGTCGCAGACTACCAGGGTGAGTGCGACGACGACGAGATCGCTCGTTCGGGAACGATGCGCACGAGCACCATGCACAGCGACGAGTGGCTGGAGCGGTTCTCGGCGAAGCTAAACGAGAAGTACGGTCTGCGTATAGAGTCCCACCCGCGCAAGGTGAAGTACCGGTTTGGCCGCGGAGAACACAGGGGGGCGAAGTTCAGGGACGTGCTACCGGTCGGCATCGGTGGAGAGAATGGGGAGATCAAATCGAATTGGATCCCAGTCAGGGTCACCTGCGAAGATACTGCTGTCGCCCAAGACGCAGAAGGCGCCGGGCGTGGTCATCGACTGAGTCCAGGGGGCGGCGGATTTCAGGAAATCGGCTTCAGCGGAGCGAAGCTGCGGAGGACAAGTGATGGGTGCTGGGGCGCGAAGATCACTTACTTTGCCAACGTGGGTTTTGACCAGCCGGAGCAGTTGGAGAAGGAGACCGTCGCGGCATGGAGTTCGGGCGTCGTACTTTATGAGGCCGTGGAGGACGTCGATTGGATGGCATCAGCGGGCAGTCTGCCCATCCACGAGGTGCCTCGACGGACCGCGACGGTAGGCAAGGGTGAGAGCATCTGACAGGAAAGAGTTGATATGTTCAGTGACGAGGGGGGCGCCTGGGCCGCGGCACGTGGCGATCGGCGAGGGCGATGGCCCAAGAGGCGCGTCGTCAGGGAGGCGCGGAGTTGTCTCGGGATTGGCCCGACCCTCGTCGGGGACTTCTGCCGCGAGATGCAGGGGGCCACAGCCGCGGTCCTGGATGCGCCCGTGCCCCAGCCAGACGACGCCCTGAACCAGGAGCGGGCGTTCGAGCAGTTGGACCGTGACAACCCGTGGTTGACGATCGCCCCATGGCCATGTGCATGTGGACCGCGGGGCGGCCGGTCCCGCCGCTAGATCGCACGCGGAAGTTTGCTCGCGGCACGTGCGGGGGAGAAGCGGGAGATGGCGCGGCCGTTGCTGGCTGGTTGAGTTCAGTGCGAGGGTCGCCAAGCACCGCTCGGGGCGTGGGAGATTATGACGGAGAATCCGTGGGCGAACGACGCTTGGGAGGGCCCCGCGCTGGAGGATGCGCCGATGGACCCGGAGATGGATTTCGTCCGCGGTGACATGCGCCAGTGGAACTTCAGGGACACCGAGAGCGGACGGCCCTACCTGAAGCCCAGTGGGTTCGCGGTGAACAAGGGCGACAAGGGCGCGCTCGCGGAGAGGTTCACGCGGACATGTGATGCGCGACGTCGACGCGGAATGATCGAGGGCCACAATGCAAACGGAGCCTGGAGTGAGCAAGCCGGACGGTGCCCGCTGTAGCTGGCAGAGGTCATATTGCGCGAAGAGCTGCTCGAGAGGCACTGCAAGCAGCTCGCGTTTTCCGCGGAGGTCCAGGAGCTCAGCGACGACGAGGCCTGCCGGAGGCCGATGTGCGGAGGCCCCGCCAGCGTCGACGCGGCCCGCGAGTGCACCGACGAGTCTGACTCACAACGCGTGGATGGACGCCAAGTTCGACCCGGGGAGGCTCGCACATGAGACATAAGTACGACTGACAGGAGATCGCGAGACTGCGGGCATCGACGACAACGGAGAGAGTACCCATGAGCAGGGCGACTGGAAGACCAACCCTGCTCCGCCCATATCGCGCTAGCGCTGCATAACCATCTTGCGCCGTGCGCCGAACGAGTCTGCCGAGGACGAGCAGCCAACGGCAAATCTTCCAGAGGGGTCTACGTCTCCAGACGTCGGCGCGCTGTCCGCGCCTCCACCACCTACGCCACACGACGAACCACGACATCCTCAAGACGAAGAGTCACGCGAGGCCTGGAAGGCAGTGGATGCAGGCCTACGTAGAGCACTGCTACACCTTTACACGACAGCAGGGCACCCGTCGACGGAGGCGCCCCAGAGGCTGCTATGACACGGTCGCGCCACGCCCAAGGCCGTCGAGGCCGCTGGACATTTGCGGCGCAGCGTGTGCGCCAGTCTGGCGAGACCAACTACGTCGAGACTTACCAAGCTGCTGGTGACGCCACGCGAGTTCAAAGATCTCATCGAGATCGATGTCTTCGAGGAGTACACGGCCAACGGCACCCGAGTCTCGTTCCTCAATCTGGCGCGCGACGGGACATGGTGCCAGCAAGTAACACCGCTGCGCTATGGTGGAGGGAACCCTACAAGCAAGGAGACATTTGAGGCGCTCATGTCCAGGCGGATGTCGCGGGCAGGCACGCCCCGCCCTACCGAGCATTCATGGATCAGGCCCGCAACGACATGGCTTGCGTCAGGGAGCAGCTGATCGCACGCAGAGTGCACAGTGAGTTCTCCAGCGTGGAGCAGCACCTCCATTCCGGGCGATGTGAGCGAGCTGGCGGCGTCTGGAAGGAGCCCTGGAGACGCGCGTGCTACGACATGCAGCTCATCGCCGAGAGCGACGTGGACATCGGTCCGAGCGGCGACGCTGGGCGGCCTCGGGGCCGCAGCATCTGTTTGAACTACCAGGGACAGAAGATCTTCGCGGCGCCGGAGCAGCTTTGCTGGGCGACTCCGGAAGACGTCCTCGCCGCGACCTCGCCTGGAGTACCCCAGCGGACGTGGCGAATGAGGTCGGCGTCGAGCACCGGACAAGGGTCACCCACCCGGACGCACGTTGGAGGCCGACTGGGGACCAGGGGGAGCGAGGGGCAGGCGGACGCCGAGGATAAGCAGTCGGAGAAGTCGGACGCACCGATCGCGGCGGCGCCAGTGCCCGAGCCGGAGCCCATGACCACGGAGATCGACGACTGGAACGAGCGCGAGGACGAGCAACCGAGCGGACGGGGGGCCCAGACGCCAACGCGACTGGCGGCGAGGCCCCCGCGGCGGACTCCGAGGGCGAGAGGTCGACCGATGATGGCAAGATGCGTCCTCTATTGCTAGGCGAAGTCGGTGGTCAGAAGAGGCAGACTTCGTTCGTTGCGGACGCGCGCCGGCTGGGCCGACGTCGACACCTACAAGCGCGGCGCCAGGAAGAGCTGGAGGCCAAGTCGGCGCTCTTGTCGGATGGCCGGAATTGCGAGGCGCGCGACTGGCCGTGGATCCGTTATTTGACCGAGCGCAGCGGACAAATCGAAATCGCGCACGCGGCGAAGGCTGAAGGCATGTCCGTCAGCAAGATTCTGGAGAAGCAGCTCGGGCAACGCAAGGGCAAGCCTGGACGACGCGTGCTTGAGGAGCGAGGGGTCCCGAAGCACTTGGAGGAGGCGCTCGATGAGGCCAAGTTGAAGGAGTGGAGCAGTCTGCGTCACCACATCACCGTCGAGCTTCTCAGCGCGAAGCTGGTCCTTGAATTGCCGCGGCATGCGCAGGTGATCCCGACGCGATTCGCATTCATGGACAAGAACGAGGCGACGCGCACGGACGCGAGCAACCTCCCCGTCAAGTTGAAGGCGACACTTGTGGCGCTGGGCAATTTGGAGAAGGGCTCCAACTACCGGCGAGACGCGTCAACTGGGAGCCTTCTGGCCCAGCATGTGGCACTGGCCTGGGCGGCATCAGGTGGGGGAGGTCGTGATGGGCCAGCTCGCGTGGCACGTGATATGGGCGCCAGGAATGCTTACCTGCAGGGGGGCGTCATCGATCGCGAGCTATATCTCAGGCAGTTGTTTAGTGGCATGCCCGGAGTTTCTCTTCCCGAAGGATCGCTGCTGCGCGCGACTGCCCCGATCGATGGCGCGGGCGACGCCGCGCGCGGGTGGTGGAAGAGGTCGCGCAAGAGTCTTCTCGCCAGCAAGTGGAAGGTGAGCACCTTAGCGTCGGCCCTGTTCTACCTGTTGCACGGGGGAGAGTTGGTCGGCATGTGCGCGACGCGCGTCGACGACGTCTCGATGGCGGGTACGCGGCAAGCAAGCGTGGCGAGTAGAGCCTCAAGACTCTCAAGAGCCGAGTGGCCTTTAACCAGAGCGAGGTGCTGAAGTTCCAGCACTGCGGCCAGACGATCGAGCAGCGACGGGACCGCGGAGACTGGGCAGAAGGAGCGTGCCAGGAGCATCGCCCAGATCCAGATATCGCACCTAGCAGGGAACGACAACGGGATGCATCATGTTCGCCAGCCGAGATTCTCATGGTTGCAGCGACAGACACGGCCGGATCTATCTTTTGCGAGTTCGGCTGGACAGTTAAGCTCTCGCGTCACCGACCGTGAACGACCTATCGAATGTATCAAGGCGGTGAAGCAGGCGCGCGAGTTTCCGGGTCGGAAGGTCATAATTCGCGGAGGTTTTGTGGTTTGGCAGAGTGCAAGCGCGTTCGTGAGCACGGACTCGGCGCGCGCGAAGGTCCAGGACGTCGCGTTGCAGCGCGGCGAGGACGGTGATGCGACAGCCCTCAAGACGGAGCCCTTCTGCAGTCAGCGGGGGCGAGTGGTCGGGCTGATGGCGCCACCGGACGAGAATGGCAACGCGAAAACGTGCGTCATGGAGTGGAAGAGTCAGATCGAGAAGCGCGTTTGCCCGAGCACCCTGGCGGCGGAGACGCATGCGCTGGCGAAGGGCACCGTGATGGTGGATTGGCTCAGGGCGGTGTTGCTCGAGAGTCGAGATCCCGAGATCCACGTTGCCGAGTGGGCGAGTCGGGCGACGGAGATCCACGCGCAGTGGATGTGCGATGCTAGGAACGCCGTGGACCACCCGAACAAGGACGGGGGCGCGCCCCAGGACAAGCGCGCCGGCATCGAGCTCGCGGCGCTGAAGCAGCTATTGGCGAGGGGTGGAGGTGAGCTGCGCTGGGTGGACACCAGCGTGACGCTGGCAGGAGATGCGCTGGACGACGAGGTCCTCCAGCGGGTTTTGTACAGCAGCGAATACAACACCAACGCCAGCACGGAGATGATGGAGTTCAAGGGCCGCAAGGCGGCGATGAGGCGGGACTTGAAGATGAGGCGTAAGGCAGACTCAGCCGCAGTTGGCACGAAGCAACATGCGATCTCAGGAGGGGAGCAGGAGGCCACGTGAGTGAGAGGTTAACTCGGATTTCTGTTTTTGCGTCCATCATTTGCGGCAGAACCCATTGGTTCGTGCCTTTTCATACTACCTTGGTCAGGGTCTTTGTCTTTATTTAATAGGGGTGTGCATTCATATCCGTGTCTACGAATGCAAGGCCCTCTCACGCTTGTGGATGCTCTGAATTTGCGTGATGCAAGCGTGTCGCTGCTGTTTCTGGCCTTCTGTATACCCACGGGGGCCCCCGTGAATATTGCTACAGTGCGACCGCCTCGCATGATCAGACAATGATCGCGGGGCATCCATCTCATCCATCGGTGGCGCTGTGTGGCGGGAGCGCTTGTCACAACCGTGCTGTTGCAGAAGAGTCTATTTCACACAATGAGGAGCGCATGAACGGAGGATGGGAGGCGGGACAGGGGAGAACGAGGAGGAGCAAGAGGAGGAGGAGGAGGAGGAGGAGGAGGAGGAGGAGGAGGAGGAGGAGGGCGACGACGACGACCAAGCCACCCGATCTGATGTTTTCAATCTGCGGCCCGAGAACTTCCGACCGCTCCCCTGGGGGTCGTTTTCTCTCGCGATTGCCGTTTCTGATGGTCCCGGGGCTCCAGAAATTGACTGCACGTAACCTACTGGGGCCCCCCGATCGCCGAATGGCGGTGCGACAGTGGCGTCTTGCGCGCTTGGGTTTCTCCACCCCCGCGGCTCCCCGAGAAGTCGCGCACCAAAGGCCACTATTGCTTGGGGTCGCTCCTTGCGCGTAGCCCACAGTAGCAATCCCCAGGGGCCGCAGTTCAGGAAACAAATCGCGGCTGAGCGTGCCACGTCGTCGAGGCCAGGGCCTGCGGAGGCGCCGGCGCATACCCAGACATGATCGCGTCGTGAAGCAATCAGGGCGGTAGGTGTTTGGCCAATGTCGGCCTCGGGGGCCCTTCGCTGGGCCTTGGGGGTGTCCAACAACTTATTCCGGATGGAAAATCGGTCCCCGGGCAAGGCTCGGGTCTTCCAGGGACCCCGTGTTGAACAAGTCAGGACGTCGCACGCCTGGGTAGGTGGAGGCGGCCCTCTCCCCGGGCGGGCTCCGTTGGGGGGCCGGCGGAGCTGAAGACGGTCACGGCCGACGAGGTGGGGGACCTCAAGGCCGTGTCTGGCCTGCGGGGGCTGCTGTCGGAGGGCCTGGGCGACCGACCCGAGGCGGGCCCTTTGGCTGCGTCGTCGTCGTCGGCGCCGCCGCGCCCCCTGGGATCCGGGCGCCGCGGTGTGCTCTCTCACCGGGCGTCTGCGCCTCCATGTTCGGCCGTTGGGGCCGTCGCAGATAGGTCCGGCGTGAGGCGTGCCGCAGGAGGATCCAGCCACGCGCAGAGGGGGGTAGCAGGAGGGGGGGAGGCTTCTTAGAAGCACCCCTGCTTCTTAGAAGGCGCGGGCCTTCTTCATGGAGGCAACGCCGGCGCCTTCTAAGAAGCCGCCTCCTTCTAAGAAGCCTTCCCCCGTCCCCTTACCCCCTTGTGCGCGCCTCCAAAGGATGGGGTCCGTGATTTCGCAAGACGTTGCCTTTTTTGTCCGAGGCATCGGTCCTCAGGGTCTTCGCCGTCGTCGTCGTCAGCGCCGTCGTCGTCGTCGCCTTCCTTGTGAACGCCGTCGTCGTCCTCCTCGTCCTCCATCGCCTCCCCCCTCCTCCCAACTTGCTCGTCCTCTTCCCTCCTCTTTTATCCTCCCTCTCCTGGCCTACCCGCGGCACCGGCACCCGCCCCAGCTCAGGGCGGGTCTCCAACGGGGTTTCCTTCTCACCCTGCTCCTCCCTCCTCCCTCCTTTTCCTCCTCTTCCCCCTCCTTTTCATTCTCGCCCTCTCCTCCTCCCTTCGCCCTCCTCCCGTAGCCGTTCTGGCTCTTGCTCTGCAGTTCCGCGCCTCGTGCCAGACCGGGATAGCTCTGTTCCCCGACGTCGTCTTCAGCTTTGGGCCTGTCAGCCCAGTTCTAAATCCGTACTCGAGATTTCGTAATAAAAGGGAGGGGGTCTCATTTCGGGGGGGGTCTCTTCCAGGCTATCTTGGAGGGCCTGGGGGGGTCTGGGGACGATGTTTTGGAGGGTTCTCCCAGGCGGGGGGGTCTAAAACTTCTCGTCTGGGAGGGTTGAGACCCCCTCCCTTTTATTACGAAATCTGGAGTACACGAGGTGTGCGGTCGCGTATCTCGTGTGCAACATGCATCGCCTGCGGCTACAAGGTGACATGGGCAGGCTGGCAAGGAGCGCTGCTTCTGATGCGGCAGACTCATGGAGCTCACGCAGAATGGACGCTCCGGGTCGTCCCCCCACGGCCTCGAAGAAACTTGACCACACAGCCAATACGCTTCTTGTCACGGACACCTTTGCCGAGGGCTTGGTGACGATTCTCTTTTTCCGTCCTCCTCGTCATCCACCCTCATTCCCCCCCTCCCATCCGCTCTCATCACATTCCCCGCACCTCCCTCCCTCATCCCTTCTCCTCCTCCTCCTTTGCTCCTGCTCCTCCTCCTCCTCCTCCTCCCATCCTAATTATCATAATGTTTCCTCCTACCTGTTTCTCTCTCCCTTGTCCTCCTCCCTCCTCGTTTCTCCTCCTACCTGTTCCGATATCATCCTCTTCTTTCCCTCCTCGCATCTCTTGTATGGAGGGTAGGAGGGAGGGAGAGGCGGAAGCGGTAACATGTTGGGGGGAGGGGAGGGGGGAATGGCAAGCTCGGTGCGCTCGCGTCATATCTGACGTCACAGTCGGATTTCCAGCAGGGCAATGGTCGCGAGAGGGTACGCGATACATAGTAGAGCACGGCATGGCATGTCGTAGTAGTAGAGCACGGCAGAGCGTAGCATGCCATAGCATGGCGTGGCATTGCGTAGTGAAGCATTACATCACACAGCATAGCAACGCAAAGCATGGCATCGCACAGCGGCGCAGGACACAACACCGCACAGCATGTCATGGCATGGCGCCAGGTTCTTTGGAGGGTAAGTGGATCGTCTTCGAGAGGTCTGGGTTGGTCTGGAGTCGTGGCTCCATGTCCAGCTTCTTGGGCTCCCCGAGAAGCTCCACACAAGGCGGGGCTGATGGAGAGCACCCGCTGGCTCTGCTTCCAGCATCACCTTCTCAAAGCAGAAACGGGGCTCCCGCGTGATACTTCTTGAAAACGACGACGCCCCAAAGTGGGGGGTCTTCTGCGGCCCCAAATCAACGAATCGACGCCGAATGTGGAATCACTTCCAATGGTTTTTCCGGGGGGGCATTTTGTAGATTTTGGTTCCTATTTGGAAGGAAGGCCAGCGCTGCAGCGGGAGCACGATTCCGCACGAGCGGAAGCCCGAAAATGAAGCCAGCGCTTCAGCGTGAGCAACATGTTGACAGAACAACCAAGCGAAAACCCATTTCCCGCGAATCCGGTGTGTAAAAAACAGTACGCGGAAGGGCGGCCGGATATCTTCCGGACGCCATCAGGGGAGAGAGGAGAGTAGTACTCATGGTTGGGAAGTCTGGAGGGGAGGGGAGAAGGAGAGGAAGATTGGAGGAGGCAGATGGTAAGGGAGGGACGAGGAGGGTAAGGAGAGTGGGGGGAGGAGGAGGAGGAGGAGGAGGAGGAGGAGGAGGAGGAGGAGGAGGAGCAGCAGCAGCAGCAGCAGCAGCAGCAGCAGCAGCAGCGGCAGGAGCAGGGGCTGGCCGCGCTGATGGGCGGCCGCGGCGGGGCATCTGGAGGGTGGGAGCCTGCGGTGCATCGGCGATGTGCTTCTGGGTGTGCACTGCACTCATGGGGTCGTGTCCTTCTCCACCCACCACCAAACCACCCCAACCCAACCCGAAGGGTCGGGTTTACCCTCGATTTCTGGTGGGGGGGGGGTCCGGGAACGTCGACAAAAGCACATATGGAGCCCATACCCCCCCCCCCCAACCCGAAATTCGGGTCTTCGGGTTGGGTTGGGGTGGTCTGGTAGGTAGTCAGTCCTAGCTGGAACAGGAGCATCATCAGGGGCAGGAGGGGGACGGCGAAGACCACGAGGAGGAGGGGAAGGCGGAGGCGGAGGAGGAGGAGGAGCCCCCCTCTCCTCCCCCCCTCTCGCCCTACGGGCCGGTCCCGGCTCCGCTCCCAGGAGCACACGGTGGAGGCGTCCTTCCCGTCGCTGCGTCACCTCTCGCTCGGCAACGGCGAGGGCGGCAAGGTTGTCGTCATCATCGTTGTCGTCGTTGTCGCCTCCATCTTCGTCGTCGTTATCGTCAAGGGAACTCCTCATGACCCGGTTCCCTCAGGACCCGCTTGCTTCATGGTGACATCAGCTTGACCTTGCCAGTGCCCCGAATTCACGGATTCCCAATCTGACCTTGCTTTTGGAGGTTGCAAAGAGTTTCTCCTCACCCACATTCTTCGTCTACATTACCATACATTGCTGCGCCTCGCCGATGGTGCTCCCGCTCGTCCTCCCTCGTCTTGTCGACCCTCACCCTCGTCCTCCGCGTTATCTATGATGAAGTTCCTGGGAGGTTGAATTCAGCATCGGCGTTGGTATATCGGTGGTCGAAAACTTGCCCAATCCAGTTCAATTCTGCCCAGTCCGATTTCATTTGGCTTAATACCGTTTTGATCTGGCTAATTCCTGCGTTCAATCTGGGCTAGTCCGGCTCAGTGGCCCCTTCCTCGGGCTTGATAGTCTCGAATTGTTCCTACGAAGATTTCCCAGGAGTTGCCTCTTACATTCCATACCCCTTCGTCATATTCACCACGGCCATCTTCCTCATCGTTTGGCGGCGAGCGAGGTGGTGAAATGAGAAGGAGAAGGCCTTCTCAGCAGACGGCGGGGCTTCAGAGGAGCCCTCGCACCTTCTGAGAGGTTTCCTGTGTTTTCGGGGAAGGCTTGAGGAGCTTCTCACATGGGGACTTCCGAGCCTGCTGAGACGGCCCATCCCTTTTCACTTCTTTCGCCAGGCTCGCCGCTGAATCATCCATGTCTTCGTGCGCCTCTTCCTGCTCTAGGCCTCCTAGATGGGTTCAGAGTAGATGGGGTCCGAGGATCGCGCCGCATCGCCGATGCATCACCGATGCGGCTTGATGTGATGCCCGTGTTTCCACACGCCGACGTCGCCGATGCATCGCTGACGTCGCCGATGCATCGGCGATGCATCGCGATACATCGGCGATGCGTTGGCGATGCGGCGCGATCCTTCGACCCCATCTATTCTCATCGAGGACTTTTTAACCTGAGAACATCATGGACACGTGGCCTCACTGAGGGCCCCGTCTTTGCACTTTGGACAACAAGTCTGGGCGGCTCGGTTTCATACATCTGCAAGACAAGGCCCCCTGCCCCTGATGTTGGTGGCCCTCCTATGTCAGGTCCCCTCCCACAGGGCTCGGCATCCTTTCCTGGTCAGTCATACTCGGACCCCTTCTGGTGGGCCTCCACCCGCTCCTCCTCCCCGAAGCCCCCACCGGGGAAGCCCGGCCCCCGTTTGGCAAGGCCGCGGCGGCGGCGCAGGCGAGCGGGGGCGTCCTGCGCTTCGTGGAGCTGCGCTACCCCTCGCTGCAGGCTTCAGCGCGGCCGGCGCGGCCGGCGCGGCCCCGGCCCCCCCATGCCTCGGCAAGCGCGGCCGGCCCCGCCCCCGCCTCGGGGAGCCCCGCTCGAACTCGAGCAGTGGCGAAGCGTCCTTGCCTGCTGTAGGCCCACCAGGACATGTTCTAAGGACCTTGATTGTGGTGTTCACGGGATGTTCTCAGAGCATTTCTGGCTGAGATTGTGTTCGTACACGTCGGGGCTATGTTCTAAGGCCATTGTGCTTATTATTATTGTTGGGCCGGGTCAGAGAGTATTTCGTGGTAGGCCTACAGGAATGCCGGGACGGTCGGTCCCTGCTCGATGAACACGGCGGCCTTCCCCAGACCAGGGGGTTTGCAGAGGGTCCTCGACGGTTTTCGCAAGATCTCGGGGAGGTCTTCAGGGCTCTGGGAGGTCTCCATCAGCTGCGCCTCGTCGCGAGCGTCCTGGGGTTGCCAGGATCGCCCCGAGAGGCCGCCTGAGGACCGAGTCCTGACCCGAAATCCAGTGGGCTTGAGGCAACGCTGGGGGGGATAAGAAGCTCAGCGGGGGAGGCGACCCCAAATCGCCCATTCGTCTCCGATCGGGGCCGGGTAGCCCCCCCCGCCCAGGAGCGCTCGGTGTCCTTATCGGGGGCCTATCGCCGATCCGTCGGCGATGCATACACACACATATATATATATATATATGTATATATATATCGTCGGTTCCACACGATATTCCCCTCCTGAGCCAGTCTTCCCCTGATGACCCTCCTGAGCCCTCGATCGGGGGACCAGGCGTCTTTCTGCTCCAGGATCAAAACTTTTGCCTGCCACTAATTTTCGGCGCCTGCGCATACCGATACGATTCGATAAATGCAGCCGTAAGATTTGGTTCGGGGCTCCGACCCGTGATTTCTCGTTCAAGTATGCTGTTTTTTTTGCGACGGCGGATCTCAGGGGAGGTTGCTTTCGGGCGCCGGGCCCGTAATGCATTGCCAGGAGGGTCCCTGAGGAGGAGGAGGAGGAGGAGGAGGAGGAGGAGGAGGAGGGGGAGGAGGAGGGGGAGAGGGAGGAGGAGGGGGAGGGGGAGGGGGAGGGGGAGGGGGAGGAGGAGGGGAGGAGGAGGTGGGAAAAGGCCGATCTTGGAAGGCTCTCGGCTTCGCGTTTCTCAGCCAGGGGCGCAGGCCTCTGGCGAGCTGACTTTGCGATCGCACCGTTCTCAGGAGGAGAAAAAACACACAGACACAATTAATCGTCGATTCCCAGGAAAATATGGGAAAATATGGGAAGTGGGTTGGAAGACATAAACCAAGAAAATATGGGAAAATATGGGGAATATTTTTATTTGTGTGTATTTATTTGTGTGTCCCATGGCCCCTTCACGTTCTTCCTCAGTCTCGGCCCCCCGGGGCTGCGCTCGTGCCCCAGGGCCTGAGAGGGGGGCCCGGGATGAAGGGCTGCCAATGGGAAGCGTTCGGGAGCTCACGGTCAGCCGCGCGCAGAAGGGGGGGGGTGGGGGGAGGGGGGGGGAAGGGCTTCTCAGAAGCGCCCCTGCTCTTCTTAGAAGGCGCGGGCCCTATCTATATAGATGTCAGGCCGGCGCCTCCTAAGAAGCAGCCTGCTTCTAAGAAGCCCTCCCCCCGTCCCCCACCCCCTTGTGCCCGCCGCCAGCATGGGGCCGCGGATTCAGACCATCACACAGTCGGATGCCTGAGCGCCCCGGCGGCTCGAGGCCCCGGGGAGCACCGCAGGTCCTGAGGCTTAAAGGGGTGTGGGATTTCGTCGCCGTCGGCTCCCTTGAAGGGGCCCCAGAACACACAAATAAATACACACAAATAAAAAGCTTCCCTATATTTTCCCATATTTTCTGGGTTTCTGTCTTCCCCCCCACTTCCCATATTTTCGCATATTTTCCGGGGAATCGACGATTAATTGTGTCTGTGTGTTTCTTGCCCTCCTGATTCCTGCGGGCCCTTCGCGGGCAGCGGGGAACGTAGGAAACAAAGTCGGGCTCAAGAGCTGGCTGGAGGGCTGGACCCAAGGGGGAGGGCCCTGGGGTTCAGCAGCGCTTCCCTCGGGATCCCCTCCCTCCCTGGCAGGAGGACGCTGATCTTCGAGACCCGGGCTTCGAGGAGGAGGAAGAGGACGAGAGCGACCCTGAGATCCGACGTCGCGACACACGTGCAAGATCGTACGCAATCACGACCGAAGCCCTGGGCCTTACCTTTCTGCTGCATTCCTCGAGCCGGATCGATCTGGGAGGGTCCTGGGGCCAAAAACGGCAGGAAAAACGCCAGGTGCGAAGAAAAATGCAACGCCCAGATTTCAAGGGATGAGGAGCTTCGAGGTTCGAGGAGGAGGTGCAGGTTGGGCTGCGATGAAGGGGGGGGGATGCATGGAGGGGGCAGCGAGGGCTGCAGAAAAGGGGCCCTGAAGGGGCCCTTTGGGGTCCCACAGTGGGCACTTCGGGCCCGAAAAGAGCACCCTTCTTCCCCCCCCCAGTCATCGCCCCCCCAGGAAGTCGCCCCAAACCAGGAGGTGCGAAAGGCGCGATGGAGGACGGGGAGGACGAGGACGAGGATGAGGAGCAGGAGGAGGAGGAGGAGGAGGAGGAGGAGGAGGAGGAGGAGCTTCACCATCCTAGAAGAGGCTGTGTACTCACGGCGTACTCATCGGCCTTCAGTCAGCGAGCGAGCGAGCGAGCGAGCGAGCGAGGAGGAGGAGGAGAGGAGGACTGCACGCTCCAGGCTTCCGCCTTAGGTTTGCACAGCGTCAAAAGGAGGAGGAGGAGGAGGAGGAAGAGGAAGAAGAAGGAGAAGAAGAAGAAGAGGAGGAGGAGGAGGAGGAGGAGGAGCAGGAAGGAGGAGGAGAAGGAGGAAGAGGAAGAAGAAGAAGAAGAAGACGAAGAAGAAGAAGAGGAGGAGGAGGAGGAGGAGGAGGAGCAGGGAGGAGAGAAGGACGAGGGCGGAGGGCGAGCAGGAGGAGGGCGAGGACGAGGGGGCGGATCCCAAGCCTGCTCTCCCTTCACCCTGGGCGCGCGCGGGCCGCCCCGTGCAGCAGAGGCCTGGCGTGCCGCTCCCCGCCCGTGGCGGCGTGCGCCGGGTGGGTACGGTAGGTTTGCGTCGTGTCGACCAGCGGCGACCCCAGCGCGGGCGTTCAAGGTTGAACGCCGCCGGCGACCCAGAATCGGTCGATGTTGAACGATCGGACGTTGCGGCAGCGGCCGATCGTTCAAGGTGGAACGATCCCGCGCGGTGTCGGGAACCAACGCCGGGGTCGGCACGACACGAACCTGCCGTAGGGGGGCCCCTCCCCGCCACGGCGCCGGTCCCCCCAGGCATGATGGCGTCGAGCCGAAAAGTCCGGGCGGGAGGTTTTGGGCCAGTGTCGGCCTCGGGGGGGGACCCTCGCAGGGCCGCGGGAGCGTCAGAGGACGGCCCAGGATGAGAGGCCGGTCCCGGGGAAGGGGTCTGGACTTCCAGGGATCGGGGGCGGAAAAGAGGGGGGTGATGACTAGGGGGGGGTAGATATCATGGCGGGGGGCATGATATCTCCCCAGATTTCATGGCGCCTCTTCTTATTTCATTACGTCCCCGGCCCCCCCGCTGGGCCGCGCACATGCCGCCGGTCATGATTTGCACCCCCCCTCTTGGACACCCCCCTCTTTGCCGCTCCCGAAGGGACCCCGCCCTGAACACATCAGAACGTCGCATGTCTGGGACGGGTGGTCTGCACCGACGGGCTCCCGCCAGGCCCTCGCAGGCGACTGTTCTCCCCCAACCCTCGACTGTTCGACGAAACATGGCGCCGCTCAGGGAAAGGAGGGAAACCCGGGGATGTACCCCCCCAGAGAGCTACTTGGACGCACCCCTATCGAGGATGGACGCCCTCTCCATCGTATATCCCAGTGTTGGGCCCAAATTTCTGGTCCATTCGAAACCGCACGAAGCCTGGGGTAGGGGTCGACATATCCCCTCTTAGTCACTCCTCTCTCCCTCCCCCCCCCCCCTTGGAGTGCAGCTCCCGAGAGGTTTAATGCGGCATTGGCGTCGGCGCTGGCTTATATCAGTGGCCGAGAACCAGCATCACCCCGCTGAATCAGCTCAATCTTGGGCTCAATCCAAGCTGATTCGGTTTGTGCTCCTTAATCGGGCTTAATCGCCCTGAACCGTTCTAACGAATACTTCCCAGACTTTGCCTCCGAATTCCCTCCCATTCCTCCTCGCTCCTCCTCAATCCTCACTCCTGCTACACATTGGGTCCTACCTCACACCTCTCACATCCTCCCTCCTCCTCCTCCTCCTCCACCTCCTCCTTCTCCTCCTCCTCGTCCTCCTCCTCGTTCTTTCTCCTCCATCTCCTCCTCCTCCTCCTCCTCCCTCCTCCCTCGTCACCTCCTCCTCCCCTCTCCTCCTCCTCCTCCTCCTCCCCCCTCCCCCTCACCCACACCTCCCCTCCCCCCTCCCCCTCACCCTCCCTCTCCTCCTTCTCCATTCTCCTCCTCCTCTCTCCTCATAGTTCCTACTCCTCCTCTTCCCTCCATCCTCCTCTTCCTCATCCTCCTCCTCCGCCTCATCCTCCTCCTCCTCCTCCTCCTCCTCCTCCTCCTCCTCCTTCCCCTCCTCCTCCTCCTCCTCCTCCCCACCTCCTCCTCCTTCCTCCACCTCTTCCTCCTCCTCTCTCCTCCTGCAGACCTCCTCGTCTCTCCTCCCCCGAGTCACAGTCTGAGAGCCTCCCCTCCTCCTCCTCGTCCTCCTCCTCCTCCTTCTCCTCCTCCTCCTCCTCCTCCTCCAAGCTCGGAGGCATTACTGGAGGTCAGTACGCGGGTTGTTATTCCAGAGTTCCAGGCTTTCGCCAAACAACGTATCATGAATGGCGTCGTTAGCTTCAAGCTGCACGATCAGCGGCACTTTTTCTTGACTAAGAACGGGGGCTTTCAGGGGTCATGTGAGATGCCCAAACAGTTCGTGGGGGTCTTTCACGATACGATCGAGGAGTTGAGATCGGACCCTACTTACACCCCCATCCTGGCGT